TATTTTATGAACCAGGTTTCAGGATGGGGGAGGCCAAAACAAGGAATGCTTTTGTTATATTTTATGAACCAGGTATCAGGATGGGGGAGGGTCCAAACCAGTAATGCTTTTGTTATATTTAAGGAACCAGGTATCAGGATGGGGGAGGGTCTAAACCAGTAATGCTTTTGTTATATTTTAGGAACCAGGTATCAGGATAGGGGAGGGCCCAAACCAGTAATGTTTTTGTTATATTTTATGAACCATGTATAGGATGGGGGAGGGTCCAAACCAGTAATGCTTTTGTTATATTTTAGGAACCAGGTATTGGGATGGGGGAGGGTCCAAACCAATTATGCTTTTGTTATATTTAAGGAATCAGGTATCAGGATGGGGGAGGGCCCAAAACAGTAGTGCTTTTGTTATATTTTAGGAACCAGGTATCAGGATGGGGGAGGGGCCAAACCAGTAATGCTTTTGTTATATTTTAGGAACCACGTATTGGGATGGGGGAGGGTCCAAACCAATTATGCTTTTGGTATATTTAAGGAATCAGGTATCAGGATGGGGGAGGGCCCAAACCAGTAGTGCTTTTGTTATATTTTAGGAACCAGGTATCAGGATGGGGGAGGCCAAAACCAGTAATGCTTTTGTTACCTTCATATGTCATATTACATTTTGTTACACCTCCAGTGAATTTCTAGCTATTTGATTGGTTGGGAGAAAATTAAACAAAAATCTCTGTCACCCTCCGAAAAAACATTGGTTTTAAGGGGCGCGGGTGATATTGCCATGAGACAGTGAAAAATATCACATGCGCAAAAAATGTGCGTGCACCGCTTCGTTTCCCCACCGTGATGGTCACAAGAACGTTTGACGGCAACAGACAATTTCATCAAGCGCCGGTGCGATAGCGATTGTAAACAGCAGACTATCAACAAACAAGATGTCATTATCGAGGTTTGCTGCCGTTTCTGAGCTACATTGACTTTTGGTGTAACAAAATAGATATGACATTCATTAGCAGGTGACAGTGAATATTGTCAACCCTCAAAAACCCATTGTCACCCTCGGCTTCGCCTCGGGTGACAATGGTTTTCTCGGGTTGACAATATTCACTGTCACCTGCTAATGAATGTCATATTTATATAATGATGTGTTACTGTTATGTTATATAGATATGTTTGTCCCCGCTTTAATACTTCAGCTTATATATATATAAGTATATTTATTACTTTTGAGTCTTAAAAAACTTCTCATTTTAAAGTTTAGAAACTATTAGTAACTAGTTATTCAATTGGTCGTACAAAATAGTGTGCAACACATGACAATAATTAGTATAGACATAAATATTTATTGAAGATTGTGGCACAATTTCAAACAAAAATCATAACATATTTATAAAACATTTCAATTAAAAATACTCTTTGCACAGCCTATCTAAAACACTTATGGGACACTTTGATACAAAATGATAAGCTATTATATATGCTTAAAAAGGTTCCTGGTAAACAGGTGGACAGGTGACAGGTCACTTATAATTCGGACTTTCATCTTCAGAAGTTTATTTCACTAGCTGTATTTAAAGAGCATTCAAGACTTCTTTTGAACCTTTTAGAAAAATATTCAGCAGATATGTATTACAAAACATCAGCTGGCATATATCAGGCTCTGTTGTTGTTCCAGCTACTAACTAGAGTGGGTATAGTCATAATAATAATATACAACATTTATATAGCGCCCTATATAATTTGTAAAATTACCCTGAAGCGCTTTACAACATATGAATAAGTTATAGTTATAATTGTGAAACAAGAACATAGGCTTACAATCACTTTTATACATTTAAGGAAGTAATGTGCACATAATTGAACAAATAAAGGGCGGTATTCTCTTTGCAGAGACCCTTAAATGCAGACATAAAGAGGTGTGATAATGGATAATTTAATTTATAATGTCCTATCATATCTCTTTATACCTCCTTCAGCGTAACTGCTTCGTGACCCCCTTATCCTAATCGGGTATATTCATGTTAAACAATATTTAAACAGTCAAGTTCATGAGTTAGTTTCTTGTCCCTTTAAATATCATGAACAGAACATATTTGTTGAGAAGATATGATGATGATTAGTATACATACCTCATGATACAACTGGACGAGGAGACGTGGTGAAGTGATTCTGGTAGCTTGTAGAGAGGGGAATAGAAGACTTGACGGGGTCACGGGGTCATGGACACTACTATTTCTGAGTGCGGGAGAATCAACATGCTACAATGCACGTAGCTCTTGTGACTGGTAGCACTGAAGCGTATTATAACTTTACTAAGATTACCTTATATAATGAATATCAAGTTCGCATTAAAGAAATACACGATTAGGCAATCAATCCTAAAAAGATAATTTTCACCGGTTATACAAGATACATTAAAACAATCTGCAAAAAAATGATATCCGAGCGGTCACACTTAAATCTGTGACTGGCAACACTGAAGCGTAATATGATATGACCTTACAACATAACAAAGAAATAATGAAGGATACCCAGTTAAGCAGCACAGAAGTATAAGTCATTAAGGATTTTTCTGAAGTACATATTTTCACAATAGCTAATATCAAATGAAGACGGGGTCTAAAGATGATGGAACCACCCAAGAGTCAATTTAAAGCATCATTTCATTGAAATGTGCTAATATCCGGTCTCACGATTCTGACCATTGGCTAAACAAAGGTATCTAAGGGGAATAAGTCAAACGAAGAGCAAAAAGTACAGATGAGAGAAGTGAGAGGTCCAGAGTGGGCAATTCAGTTTTGGTTTCTTCAGTTTCACCTAAGCGGAATATTTTCCATTGTGCAGAGGTCGTACATAAGTCAACTCGTGTGGGCATGCAGTGGGATAAAGCGGATCCACGCTCTCTCCAAACAAAACAGCAGTAGTTTGTGCATAAATATTAGTCAAGGTCAGTTCGTTTCGCAAACGAACTTTATAGCACATACTGATAACGTACTGGCCAAAAAGCACGGCTCTTTATGTTTCGGTTCTTCAGAAAAAGTTGTTTGATTATTATGTCAACCATGATTTGTTCTGTTCAGGAAGTAATGTTCTGGCAACAGCTAAGGACATACGGAGACAAGCGTCTAGGGAGGCACCGTCGAAACGTAGAGAATGGACAGAGATCCAAATCTAGAATACACTGAAGAAAGCCCGATTTTCTCGAGATTTGTTAGACATTTTATCGGACTAAAATTTTCAAGTAGATTTTTTTCCCATTCTTTCCTTTTTCATGATTAATGAATTATGGACCGTCCGATACGTACAGTCCATAATAATCATATATTTTTTTTAATAAAAAGGTTTTTAAAACAAATCTTGAAAATTAAGTGTATGCAAGTATACATGTATGCTACGCCACTGGTATGCCTTACACGTGTATTGTGCTCCTTACTTTGTGCTGCAGTCTTCCTGCATTTAAAACAAATGAGGCTGTCCTCGACGATGAATTTTCCCCCATGTTCGGTAATATCTGCGATAATAACAGTTCTTTTGGGTAAAACAATTCATAAATATTTAAAATGATGTCCTAACTACAATGCGTAGCTGCATTGTTCACGCGTACCGGAATTTGTTGACATTATTCAATAGAAGAAAAATTCATAGGTATGCTAGACAATTAAGGAAATACAAACTGTTTTAACCCAAGAAACATCTGTCGCATTTTTGAGAAACTCTATTAATCCTATTTTTATACGCCCGTCGAAGACGGGGACGTATTATGTTATCACGTGAGCGGGCGGGCGGGCGG